ACCACCGGCACCCCCCCGCGAGTCTGCGAGCCGTGGAGAGTCGCCTCCGCCAATGGATCGGTGATGGATTCGCTCGTGTAAGTTGGGCCTCAGGGCTGAAAGGCCGAGGGAGGGGCGGGGGGTGGTGGAGAGCAACGAAAGGAAAGAATAATGATAACAGTGATAACAATGATAATATAGTGGACAGTGATAATAATAATAGTAAGGATAATACCGATGATAGTAATATTATTGATAATAGTGACAATAATAATAGTAATAATAATAATTATGATAATAATAATGAAAATATTGACAATAATAATAATAATGATAAAAGTGATAATAAAAACAAAAGTTATAATAGTGATAATAATAATAATAAAGATGATACTAATAATCTTGGTACTGGAATGCCTACAACAGGTTCTACATGATGCAGAACCCGTTCAACAACCCCATGGCCGTGACGCAAGAGAAAGTCGACCAGCTGCTTAACTTCTTGAAGAACAACGTATCAGAGGAAGTCAGGAAAGTCATTAAGGGAGACCAAGTCATGGAGAGTCTTCTCAATCTATCCATTAGCTACATCGACATCCTGAGAGAGAATTCGGACGATATCATTGATCTCATCAAGGAGGTATTTTGAAACCAGTCATGCAGTAGAGAACATTGGCTTAAGAGTGGGGCACCTCTCTCTCTCTCTCTCTCTCTCTCTCTCTCTCTCTCTCTCTCTCTCTATCTATCTATCTATCTATCTGCCTCTTCCTCTCTCTCTGTCTGTCTTGCTCTCTTTCGTTATCTCTCTCTTTCTTTCTTTCCTTCGTCCACTTTCTTTCTGTTTCTTTCTTTTTCTTTTTTCGTTCTTCCCTTCTTCCCTTCTTCCCTTCTTCCCTTCTCTCTCTCTCTCTCTCTCTCTCTCTCTCTCTCTCTCTCTCTCTCTCTCTCTCTCTCTCTCTCTCTCTCTCTCTCTCTCTCGCTCTCTCTCTCGCTCTCTTTCTCGCTCTCTTTCTCTCTCATTCTCTCTCTCTCATTCTCTCTCTCTCTCTCTCTCTCTCTCTCTCTCTCTCTCTCTCTCTCTCTCTCTCTCTCTCTCTCTCTCTCTCTCTCTCTCTCTCTCTCTCTCGTCTGTGCAAAACAATTTTTCAAAACTATTTCTCAAAGGTGCGTCGTTTAAGGGTATATCTTCCGTAATGATGATTGATTATTTGATCATACATAAAAAAAAGTTCGTTGATGATGTCTTTTGGTATCGTGATGGTCAGCATTACAGTGGACAGAATATAGTGATAATAGTAAGTAATGAGAATATCGATTCAGCCACAGTAAAGAAATGATGGGGCTAACACTCTCTCTCTCTCTCTCTCTCTCTCTCTCTCTCATTCACTCTCTCATTCTCTCTCTCACTCTCACTCTCACTCTCTCTCTCACTCTCTCTCTCTCTCTCTCTCTCTCTCTCTCTCTCTCTCACTCTCACTCTCACTCTCACTCTCTCTCTCTCTCTCACTCTCTCTCTCTCTCTCTGTTTTAATGATAACGGCAGAAACGACAATAAAATTACCAGTAATAACGATAACGACCACAGGGGCTCATTAATAACAATAATAACTGCCACGAGTAATAACGATATAAATAACTTAAGCAAGTTACTGTGGGATTCCAAATGAGTTTATTTGTTGTTGTTTTTTCTCCCCCCCCCCCCCAGTTTGCAGAGTAGTTCATCTGAAAATTATTTCCATAGTAATTAATTTGATTTTTTTTCCTCTCAAACATTTCAAAGTAGTTTATCTGAAAATTGTTTGTTTTTCCCCAAAGTTTCCAAATTGGTTCATCTGATTTTTCCCAAAAAAGTTTTCAAAGCAGTTGCTCTGAAAATTGTTTTTCCCCAAATGTTTCCTAAGTAGTTTATCCGATTTTTCCCCCAAGTTCATCTGATTTTTTTTTTTTTTCTTTTTTCTTTTTTTTTCTTTTTTTTTTAACCTTAATTTCCAAACCACTTCATTTGAAATTTGTTTTTTTCCCAAAAAGTTTCCAAAGTAGTTCATCTGAAAATTGTTTGTTTCCCCCCAAAAAAGTTTCCAAAGTTCATTTGAATTTTTTTTCAAAAAGTTTCTAAAGCAGTTCATCTGATTTTTTTTTTTTTTTTTTTTTAAACGTTTCCAAAGTAGTTCATCTGAAAGTTGTTTGTTTTTTCCCAAAAAGTTTCTAGAGTAGTTCATCTGAATTTTTTTTTTTTTCTCCCAGAGCTTATAAAGTAGTTAATCTGATTTTTTTTCCGAAAGAGTTTCCAAAGTAGTTCATCTTATTTTTCTTTTTCAAAAGTTTCCAAAGTTGTTCCTCTGAAAGTTGTTTTTCCGCAAAAAAAAAGTTTCCAAAGTAGTTCATCTGAATTTCTTTCCCTAGGGCGTTCGAATGATGATGCTCTCTCCTGAGGAACTGTGTATGCTGGTCACCACGAAGCCAGGACCCGAACCCGACGATGACATGCGCTGTATGAGGTGAGTTCAATGCCGCTTCGAGTCCCGTTTGTTCGGTCTCGAGCTGATACTTAGGTTTTGCATCTCTTTTTTTTTCTCTTTCTCTCTTTTTTTCTCTCTCTCTACTCTATTCTCTCTTTATATATATATATATATATATATATATATATATATATATATATATATATAAATATGTATATATATTCTTTCTCTCTCTCTCTATCTCCATCTCTATTTATCTGTTTATCTTTTGTTATCTCTAAAAATAGATAAACGTTTTCTGTGTTCTAACCAACGTAATATGATAAAAGAAACCGCAAAGGAAAATAGAAACGTTATCGCCCCCCTTGTGTCTTTTCAGGATGGCTCAGAAGGACGTCCTGAAAATCGTTGAATCGGAAGAAGACAAGGAAGATCCCTTCTTCCAGAATCCACTGAAGCAAGCATTGTCCATGGCTTTGAAAAAACACATGAAAAAGGTGTTCTGGAAACAAGGTAAATGTGGCTCTTTTGTCAAATATGTTTTGATATATACGAGACCTACGGTATATCATTTGTTCCCAAAACCTTTCTTGTTACGATAAGGACATCACGACCTAGGGTACCAATCAAGACAAAAAGTTCTACTGGACATCAGGTGTTCCCTACCCCCTTCTTGTTATTAAAAGGATGTCACGACCAAGAGTACCAATAAAGAAAAAGAGTTCTATGGGATATCAGGTGTTACGTATTCCCTTCTTTTTATTAAAAGTATGCCACAACCAAGGGTACCAGTCGAGACAAAGAGTTCTATGGGACATCAGGTGTTCCCTACCCCCTTCTTGTTATTAAAAGGATATTACGACCGAAGGTACCAATCAAGAAAAAAGTTGTAGGCTTAATCAGGTGTTACGTATCCCCTTCTTGTTACTAAAAGGACAGCCCGACCTAAGATACCATTGAAGACATTGAGTAAGTATAGGCTTGGTATTTAAGGATATAAACGTGGAGAAGCTAGGCACTATCCTACTTGGAACAGTGTTTAGCTGGGAAATTCTAGTCGCTGCTTATCATATGCATTAATTAACACTGTCACTCCCGAAAGAGAGAGAGAGAGAGAGAGAGAGAGAGAGAGAGAGAGAGAGAGAGAGAGAGAGAGAGAGAGAGAGAGAGAGAGAGAGAGAGAGAGAGAGGGCTAGAGAGCAAGAGCGAGAGAGGACATTGGAAGCTCCCTTGTGTTTTCTTAAGTGGACTAAATGGCAAAGCTTTTATAAATAAACAAATGAAATTGCTTTCAGAGGAAGGTTCAGTGTTCCGAGGAAGAAGGTCCAGGATCACCGGCACGATGGCCTGGGATAAAGTGGCCGTCTGCAGCTGCTCGTCCTGTGGGCAAGGCGGTGGTTTCGGAGGCGGGAACGGCGGGGGCTTCGGAAATGGCGGAGGTTTCGGAGGAGGATTCGGAGGCGGGAACAGCGGCGGCTTCGGAGGAGGATTCGGAGGCGGGAACGGCGGAGGTTTCGGAGGTGGCTTCTCAGGATTCGGAGGAGGTTTCGGAGGCGGGAACGGCGGAGGATTCGGAGGAGGTTTCGGAGGCGGGAACGGCGGAGGTTTCGGAGGTGGCTTCTCAGGATTCGGCGGCGGCTTCGGAAGTGGCGGAGGTTTCGGAGGCGGAGGCTTCAGTGGCTTCGGAGGTGGCGGAGGCTTCGAAGGCGGGAGCGGAGATTATGGCGGCTTTGGCGTTGAATTTGGCAGCGGCATGGGAGGCGAATTTGACAGCAGTTTTGGACAAGAGCCCTTCGGTTTCTCGGCCGCTCGCACGAACAAGAAAACGGTTTCACTTAGAAGAGGTAGGCATTTCCTCTTTATGTATGAATACACTCACACACACACATACACACATATCCATATCTATATACATACATACATACATATATATATATATATATATATATATATATATATATATATATATATATATATATATTACATATGCATCTGTATGTCAAGATCGATATTGATTTGACATTCGAAAGATGCATTGGTCACAATTTTAAAGATGTCTGGACCATGCAGGATTACCAAGTCTCGCCAAAATGTTTCCTTACGTATTTTTATTTTGAAGGACAATCAGTATAGCAAAATTTAGCTTTGGAAGTAATAGAGTAAATATAATAATTATAAATAGCAATTTTGTTTTAAATGTTCATAATTCAATCAGGGAGAAGTAGTAAGCAGTTTTATCAAGTCCTACATCAGACTTGATAAAAATCTCGGGTGTTAAAAATCTTGTTTTATCCGGAAACTGGAGGTAGTAATGTTTTATAAATGAAATAGTATAACTATCTGTGGGAGAGCAAACACGGCATGATTACGTCAGTGTGGCTACAGTGGAATTAGACAAAGGAGACAATTCTGATTGTGTCAAAGGATGAACTGTGGAAGGAACAATAGATCAAGGTAGAGTGTAGGTAAGGAAAATCGGGAAGGAATTGTAGGATTGATCACTTATTAGTACAAACTGAAAAATAATTGGATGTGGGAGGGGTGGGTGTTACAGTTTCGATTCCGTCTCGCGTTTGTTTGATTGTTTTTTATTATATAAATTGTTGAGATTATTGGTTTGTAATTAGTAGAAGGGAGGGTTAGAATTAACCTTAGGATTAAATTAAATCAATTTGTTTTTCTCTGTAATGTTTATTACTAAAGGTGTGGTTTCAAAGATCCCATTAATAAAGATTAGTAAAACTATTTAAGGTGTCTTCCCTGGCCACTAGAAAATCTTTGTTCACGGATATCAAACAATCACTCACACACACACACACAGTTCTTTCTCAAAAATTTTGGCAAAGAATAAACCGCGATGAACACTTCCATTTGCAGAAACAAGAGACATCCTAGCCGGGACGAAAACCGAGCTGTGGGCCGCGTCGGAGGAACGCACTGACGGCGGAAGGAGCCTCAGCGGGGTGGTGGTCATTTTCCCGTCGGTGACCAGCGGACTCCAGCCAGGCTCCGTGTGCAAGGACCGGCAGTGGGGCACCGCTGAGGCCTGGGTCGTGTGTCGGGAGAACGCGACCGATAACGAGTACGTTTAGCTGCTAAATGAGTTTTTTTTTAGCTGTTAATTGAGGTGTTTAGCTGTTAATTGAGGTGTTTAGGTGTTAACTATGGTGTTTAGCTGTTGATTGGGGGTGTTTAGCTGTTGATTGGGGTGTATAACTGTTAATTGAGGTGTTTAGCTGTTAATTGAGGTATTGGGTTAGGCTAAATTGCAGT